TTTTTCAATATTTTATTTGTTTTCAGCACACCAAAATACATGGAAATTAGATGAAAATAATCAAACAGCTTTTTAGTCACAGACCTGTGAATTGGTAGCCAGTAGCTTGTAGCTAAATAGGATTCTTCATACAACACACAGGGTAAAATGATAAAATAAAATTTAAAAAGCCCTTCACACAATTCTAACCAAATCCCTCAATTTCTAAGGAGGCCACTCCTTCATCCCAGATTCCAGCCAATTCTCTCACAAATGCCATACCGATACTTTCCATCGAACCCTGACAGAACCTCCTTCTTTTCCCTTATTGGTTCTCAGGAGTCAGATGACTGGGCCTCTGATTGGCCAGTTGAGTCCTACTCCAATAGCTTACAATAAACAAATGTAAATGCTTATTATACTGAGAAAATAAATACAAAATGCTATCATAAAGAAAGTGACAGAAACATCCCAATATTGCAGAATATACAGCCTCATGCTACATAACTAAGCTCCATTTCATGCCGAATAAACTAAATTATTAATGTACCTTGAATAAAAAGCTATCATTAGATAGATTTTTACTCCAAAAGCATTTTATTAAAATAAATTTGATAAAAAAACATCTGATTTAAATTAAAAAATCCATTTTTTAAAAAAAAATCATAAGATTTTTATCCATACTGTTGCATATTATTGTTCAGCATTATAGTGAACTATTTATAAACATTTAGAAAATAAAACCATAAAATTATATAAACATATAATAGATATAATCAGCGGCTATTCCAAATTCAAAGACATAGATGTTAAAATAGAGAATCTTCCTCCTCCAACAGACTACCTCAAAGCATGCTTGAGGTTTATCAGGTTCAAATAAGACGGCTAAAGGAAAATAATTTTGAGAAGGTTGTTCCATAACTGAGATAATTATAGCCTTGAAGCTTGCTATACTTTTAACAAGTCAAATTGCATATTTATGTATATAGTAATACCACGAAATGTTTGCATTCAACACTATTTATTTCAAATAGTAAGGAGACCATGAATGTAAGGAAACATTTAAACGGATTCATCCGCCTGTGATATAACCCAAATCAGAAAAAGTTAGAAAATAAGTGTTCCGAAACAGAGCCAGTGGTTTTGTGGTTAAGGTGCGAGGCTAGTAACAGGGAGAGCGTGAGTTCTAATCCCACTTTAGGCATGAAAGCTAGCTGGGTTTTTTGGGTCAGTCACTCTCAGCCCAACTCATTTCATAGGGTTGCTATTGTGCGAAAAACAGGAGGAGGTAAGAGTATTATGTATCTTTGGCACCTGGAGTTATTTACAGGTGGAATATAAATAAACATGAACAAAAAGCAGACCTTCAAACTTCTTTTGCTGATGCTGCTCATTAAAATAGTCTGTAATTGGATTTTTAATAGACATTTTATGAATGCAGGTAATCCTCAGCTTATGACCACAATGGAGCCCAAAATTCATATTGTTAAGTGAGAAAATTGTTAAGTGAGTTTTGCCCCATTTGACTTTTCTTGCCACTTTTGTTCAATGAATTAAATTAGCAACGTGGTTGTTAAGTGAATCTGGCTCTCCATTGACTTTGCTTGTCAAAATGTCACAAAAGGGGATCACACGACTCCGGGACACTGCAAATGTCATAAATATGAGTCAGTTGTTAAATATGCAAATGTAAATCAAGTGACCATGGGGATGCTACAACGGTTGTAAGTGTAAAAAATTGTCATAAGTCACTTTTTTCCAGTGCCACTGTAACCTCAAATGGTCATTAAATGAATTGTTGTAAGTAAAGGATTACCTGTATAAAAAACACCTCTTTACTCTAAATGCAGCCATCTTTTGTGAACTATTGAACTGAAGAAAGGATCACATTGGGAAGTCCTTGAGTGCCTTCAGTTAAGAAACAAAGGTCCATATTCAGAAAGAAAGTTACAATAAAAGCCAATGAAGATTTAATGACAACTTCAGCTTTAATTGTTTAAGACAGTGTTTATCCTCTCCTTACACTGTTCACTTTAAAGCTGTCACATAGCTTTCTGTGTCAAACCAGACAGGAGAAAATTAGAACATTACATCAACTCTGCAATGTAACTGATTAGCACTGTAACTGACTATTATAAAACTATAATTATATAAAAACTGACTGTTATAAAAGGATAAATGACAGAATCAATACAGATGTATAACCACAATAGAATAACCCCTTATGTTCAGAACATCATTTTACAAAGAAAAGTCTCACCAACTTCACAGCTATTCTCAACTTCTCTGTAAAAAATCGTTTTCTGCTCAAAAGATCTGCATATTCAGTTGATTTTTTCCCTTTATCTCCTATACCCCCAAAGTGAGATTTCCTCTTTCTTCTAGTTATAATTCTTCTCTAAATTATCAAGTTAAATCACAAAAATATACTATTATTTGTCTTGCAGACATATGTAAGTTGTAAACAATGATTTTCTTGTTAAAAATTTATGATCTGAACACTAGCTTTCCAAAGCCTG